GAACCAGTAGAGGGAAGATCGTTCTTTCTGTCTCTGTTCCATATATATATATTCGTGTGTGTATGTGTATGTGATATGTATCCCAACTTTCCTATATATAAACCAATAAAGAGAAGAGGAAAGACAAAGAAAGATCTTCCCTCTGCTGGTTCACTCCCCAAGCGGCCACAGCAGCCAGAACTGAGCCAATTCAAAGCCAGGAGCTTTCTTTTCCTCTCCCACGTGGGTACTATGTCTCAAGGCATTGAGCCATCATGTCCTACTTTCCCAAGCCACACACAGAGAGCTGGATGGGAAGTGGAGCCGCCAGGACACAATCCAGCACCCATATGAGATCCCACCTCCTGGAAGTGGAGGATTAGCTAGTTGAGCCAATGCACCCGCCCCTGCTCCACTTCTGCTCCAGCTTCCTGTTCATGCACCTGGGATGGTGGCAACTGATGGCCAAGAGCTTGGGTCCCTGCTACTCATTTGGGAGGCTAGATGGAGTTCCTGGCTCCTGGCTCCATACTGATCCAATCCTGGCTATTCTCAGGCGTTGGAGGAGTGAACCAGTGAATGGAAGATTCCTGTTCTCTCTGCTGCATCCCTGTGTATGTGTGCCGCCCTCTTTCTCCGTCATTGTGCCCTTCAACTGAATGAATTTTAAAGGAACAACAGCCCGTGGAAACAGGCGTGAAGCCATAAGTGCTAAGGAATTTCCGAGGACAAGGGAGTGATGAGCTGATAAAGAGTGACTGCCAGAGAAAGCACCTTGCCTGCTAGGAGCCTGCAGGACACGGATGTGCCTCCCCTGGGCGGAGATGGGGTGGCAGGGGTGGAAACAGCTGGAGCAAAAGTAGGGTCAGGTGAGTCTGACAAACATCTGATGTGCTCGGCTGGGAGAGGCTGGGCGGCAGCAATGTCTGCAAATCTGATAGAGACCAAGTCCAAGGCTTTCATTGATGATGTGCTAGAGATGGGGAAAGCCCAGACACTGCCATTTAGGATGATTGATCTTTATTAGCCTGTAGGACAGCCCAGGTGGGTGGGCAGGCCTATGCCGGAAGCCCATAGGAGACCCGAACATTAATCTAGACGTCATTCATGGAGCCAGCGTTGGGCTGTAGTGAGTGGACTAAGTTGCTGCTTGGGATGCCCACGTTGCATGTCTGAAGGCCAGTTCCTGTCCCAGTTCTTTGGCGGAGGCTCCAGTGCTTGGGTCCCTGTCATTCTATGTGGAAGACCAGATGGAGTTCCTAGGATCTGGCTTTGGCTTGATTTAGCCCTGGTTGTTGCAAATCAACAGATGGAAAATCATTCTGTGTGTGTATGTGGTGTACACATAAGATCTGACTTTTTTTTGTTTTAATGAAGTAATTCCTGGGGCAGCAGTTGGTGCAGCAGTTAAAATGCCACTTGGGGGGCCAGCCCCATGACATGGTAGATTAAGCCTCCTTTGACTGTAGCGTCCCATATGGGCACTACTTTTTGAGTCTCAGCTGCACTTCTGATCCAGCTTGCTGCTTATGGCCTGGGAAAGCAGTGGAGGATGGCTCAAGTCTTTGGGCTCCTGTAATCCACATAGGAGACCCAGAAGAAACTCCAGACTCTTAGCTTCAGATTGGTCCAGCTGTGGCCATTGTGGCCATTTGGGAAGTGAGCCAGTGGATAGAAGATCTCGCTGTCTCTCCTCTTTCTGTAAGTCTGCCTTTCAAAATTAAAAAAAAAAAATTTTTTTTTTCAAGTCTCTTGGGACATCTGCATCCCACATGAGCCTGCCTGGCTCCATTTCCATGCATGCCCTGAGAGCAAACTTAGGAGACCCACATCCATTTGATATGGCCCAGACCTGCCTGGCTGTTTTAGGAATCTGACGTGTAGGTAAACCAATGGATGGAGGATCTCTCTGACTCTCCCTTTCTACTTAATTTTGACTTTTAAATAAATAAATCTTTAAAAAAAAAAAAAAGGAAAGGGAAAGGGGGGGAATTGAAAATGTTATTCAGAGTTTCTTTTATATATTTGAAAGACACAGTGACAGAGACCAGGAAAAACAGTGAGAAGTTAAAAAAGAGAATCTGCTAAGATTATCTCCTTAAATGGCCCCAAAGGCCAGGGCTGGGCCAGGTCAAAGCCCTCAAGTCAGGAATTCCATCTGGGACTTCCAGGGGGATGGCAGAGGCCCAGGGACCTCGCCAGCTCCTGTTACGTTCCCAGGTGTGCTACTAGAGAAGTGGATTAGAGACCAACTGGGCCTGAAACTGGCGCTCCAGTACAGAATGGGATGGTGCCATCACGGGAAGCAGTCTAACCCGCTGTGCCACGAGGTTGGCCCCAAGATACTTAATCAAAAAGCAACTCCTGATAAGCTGGCACGTCCCTAGAATCTTCACAGACAACATGTCCATCTCCATTCATTCACTAAACAAAATTACCGGCACCGTTTTGGGCTTTCCTCATTATCCCTCCCTGCACCCAGTCTCCCTTTAGATTCAAGGATGAGAAGATGGAGTTGAATGGTGGCCCACCTACACCTGGGGGAACTTGCTCCAGCCCTTTCTCCTGCCCCAAGCTACGCCAGCAGCCTCTGCCCTTTCGAATAGGTTTGTACAGAGAAAACAGAGCCCACAATACTCTGAGAAGCTGGGGGTGAACGCAGAGTAGCCCAGGCAGCAGGGAGCGCTCGCTTGGATAGTCAGAAAGGGAAAGCTGAGTGTGGAGACCTGAGTGGGGAGGAGTCTTGGGAGTGTGTAAGGGGGAGGGGAGGGACAGGCGTTCGGCGCTGAGGATGGGGCAGGAGGGAGGGAGGGACAAATTAGAGAGCTGCAGAAGGAAGCCGAGTCTTAGCAGCCCGGGTGGGGGGAGGAGGAGGCGGGGGCCTGGGAGGCGAGGGCAGAGGAAATGGGCCCAGGCAGTGGAGACAAGAGTCTGGGAGTTGAGCCGCCCAGGAGCCACCTGGAAGGTGCCGCAGCGGCAACATCAAACCTGGGATCCCAGGGCTGGCTCCGGGACTGAGCTGGGTGGTGGTGGTGGGAGGTGTTTACGGGGAGGGGCGCTCCTGGGATGCTGAGAGCCAGCCAGAGAGGTCCACCCCAATCTCCAGAGATCTTTGGCTTGCGCCAGCCATCCAGCCCCCCTTCCTGCTGGAAGGCCAGTGGCCGGGCCTCTGGAGTTCCACCCCCGCCCCGCACCCAGCGCTGGCTGGCTCCTATCTCGTCTTTCCCCGCCCAGCTCTGAGCACAGTGTTGGGAGGTACAAGTGGAAGAGGAAAGGGGGTCTCCTGCAGCTCACCGCCCAAAGAGCCAGGCAGATTCTTCAAAACCCCTTACTGATGCTAAGGAAGGAAAAGGGTGTGAGCCCACAGGTTGGGGCCCAAATGGCCCCCACCCCAAGATTCACCCATCTTTTTGGACTGGACCTGCTACCTAAGCATATGGAACCGATTGAAAGAATTTGTATGCTCACCTTATAATTTATGCAAATCAACTCTGTAATTAACTATAATTTGGAGGCATCCTTTGGTATTTGAGACATTTATCCATGAGGAAATGCCCTGGTGATAATGCTCCCGTATTAACATTATTTACTCCACCTGTGTGGTCTGCGGGGCTGCTTCCCCCTCTGCTCTTCTGGGCTGGAAGGTGGGTTGGGACAGGGCAGCCCCTCCCTGGAGCCTGCTTCATCCCTGACGCCTGGGTCCTCCCCGCCTCACTCCCCAGCTCCCTAGAGGGTTGGGGGGCCAGGCGCTGTGCTGGTTCCATTCTCCGGGCGAAGGCTGGGGCTCTGCTCTGGCTCCAAACCCCCCACTACTGAGTTCGCTCTCTTGTTTGTTGGGTGGTTTTCTGCTAAGCTTTTTCCTCTGATGAGCCTCGATGTTCTCATCTCGGAAATGGGAAGAAAGACCTGTCGGGACCTTTACAAGATAATTACTGAAAAGCTAATGAAGAAACTGGGAATCCCCAGTCTCTGGATTGCTGGAGGTGTAGGAGGAGAAGGAATAGGATAAATTTGGAGGTAAAGGTTCCCCAGCACAGCCTGAATGCAAGCAGGGGACCTGGCTTCAGTGTGTGCACAGCTGGGCCTGGCCTCAATGCCAAGGGCCTCAGGCAGTGGTGGAGGTGGCCATGCACCCTGTGAGCCTTCCCGGGCCACTCTGCTATGTGGGTCAGAACCTCCCAGGCAGAAGGCTCTGGGAAAGCAGTCTCATTCAGTTTCACCTCCTTTCTCCTTCCTGGTCTTTGTTTCTGTCCGCCCCAGGACATGCTCCTGTTAGCTAGTCTGCCTCAGCTTAGAGCCACCCCCAAATTAGGCTCCTGTACGCAGTGGGGGATGTGGCGGCGCCACCTAAATCCACCTCCAGGGCCCTTCTGCTTTTCCAGGCCACCTTCCTGGTCTCCTCAGGCTCCTGCAGTCTCAGGCATCCTGGCTCTGCACCCCAGCCAGCAACAGGGCCCTCTCTCCCCAGGGGGCAACCAGAAATCTCAGGTCCAAAATGCAGATGAGGTTGGATCCTCCAGAAGGATCCCAGTTGGAAGTGAACCCCTGGAAAAGGAGTACCAAGGGCCAGGGAGCCCTGGGAGCCCCGGGTGGGGTGCTGTGCAGGAAAGGATGGATTTGAAGTAGTCTGAGTGTGTGTGTGTGGTGTGTGTGGTGTGTGTGTGTGTGTGAGTTCAGCAAAGCAGGCCCCTTTCCTCCCACAAGTGGACGGATGCCACTTGGACTGTTCTCACCACCCCAGCCCTTTCCCCTGGCAAGGCTCTCATTTCCTCCATTCAGACTCCCCAGAGTGCCTGTGTTGCTGCCCCATTTCAGGAGACCCTGGGGATGGCAGGAAGTCCTGCTGCACTGCCACAGCCCCCACACCCAGATGCCTCCTGCTGTGGAAATCCTCCTTTCCTGGCAGCCCTCAGAGGCTCTGCTCTCACCCCCAGCACTCCCCCAGCAGAGCCGGGGGCCACTGTTTCCTGGATTATCCTAAAAGCTTCCGAGGCCGTGAGGACTTGGCAGCATCCCGGCTCTCACCTCCCCCTCTGGCTCTGACTGTCGCCTCCTTTATAAAGCCTAGCTCACTATCATCCCCATTCGTCCCTCACTGCTGCTGCCAGCTCTGGGCTCCATGGACGGGTAAGAGAGGCATGGGGACCTCCACCCTGGATCAGGACCACCTCCCCACTCTAAGGGGTACCCAGGGTGTCTTGGCTCTCTTTTCACATGGTAGGGAGGGACAAGAGGGAGATCTTGGCAGGGGTCTTCATGGAGTACCAAAGAGAACCCCCAATAGGTCTTTGGCCTGGGCTGGGCTGAAGAGAAAGTAGGGCAAGGTGGGCGAGAGATGCCAGCTAGAAGGAGGGACTGCATTCAGAGACAAAGGATGGGCAGAGGTCAGCAGATCCACCTGGAGGGTGTCCTGCCATGCAGAGGCAACAAGGGAACTTTCTGTGTGCTGTAGGAGAGAAGACATGCACCCCACACTGCAGCCCCCAGGTGCACTCATGCATGACATGAGCATACATTTGTGGATGCACACACAGGTGCACTTCCCACAGTTGGGATCACCTTTCAGACTGGAAAGCGATGGTAGATACTTGTGATGGTGGGGTTTAAAACAGAATCAGTATCCAGCACAGTGCTGCAATAGGATGAGTGATCTGACCCCAGCTCCGGACTCTGCTTGGTTCTCCTGTGAGTCAGGAGAAGTGGGTGGAACATGTTCATATCCAAGGCCACCAGCCTGGGTCCTTCAAGGTGCCTGCTGGTGGAGAAAAATGATGACTGAGAGCTTAGGAATTAGGAGGTAGGTGGGGGACTCCGGCCCCTGCTCTGCTGCTAACTTGCCGTGTGCTTCGCAGCTATTCTCCAAAGGCCTGGGACTCAGTGTCTATATCAGCAACATGGAGGGCTTAGACTAGGCTGCATGGGACTACCAGCTCTGACGCCCCCACCACACAGATGCTAAGGACAGCTGGAGTTTGGAAGGGCTGGCGGCCTTTTGCAATGGCACATGCGACCTTCCTAGCTGGTCTTGTCAGGTGCAGGATGGTGCATGGCTCTGATCTAGGAATGCTGGCCCTGTTCCCTGGAGGATGTAGAGAGCTAGGATTTCCAGGGCCATTGCCTCTGTAGTAATGAACCTGGACAGAGCCTTGCAACCCCATGGAGCTGGACTCAGTCTGTCATCTTGGGAGAACCACGTAAATCCTCCAATCCTTGGCTTCCTCTTTCTGTACAATGGGAATCATTCCTCTGCCTTGTGCTCCTGAGAAGTAGAGTTATTTGTGTAAAGGACCCAGCACCTAGTGGGTGCATTGTAAGTAAATGTTGGTCCAGTGAGGCTGCTCCAGGTGCGGAGCGGAGCCTAACTGTGCATGAAACTCCGGAAGAGGGATGGCAGGCATGGGAGGGGGACACTTGTGGGTGAAATCTTGCTATTTGTGCAGAGATGGCCCAAGTGCTGGGCTGATCCCTCCTTGTGGGGCAACAAGGATGTGGAAACTGTGGCAGTCACATCAACATCTGGCCATGGCACCATTCAGCATGGAAATGTCAAGCAAGTGGGGGACCCCAGAGGCTGGAAGCAGAGACCTACAGGTCGAGGGAGAGAATCTGAAAGAATCACAATGACATTGTCCTAGGCAGAAACCCAGACAGGCCAGTAGGACATCTCTGCTGAGAGCCCCAGAGACTGAGATGACTTCCGACTTCCATTCTGTTGAATTTTCTCATTTGCCTGAGGAGCCACAGGCAACTGAAGGATTTGTGTTCTGGGACTCCCAGGTGGCTGTGGGTCAGGGAGTAGGGGAGATGTGCCGTGATGGTGTCCGCTCTCCTGGGGCTGGATTCCCCTTTCCTGCTGCTTTCCAGGGATGCAAAGTGATGAGAAGATAAGGCAATCTGGCGCCTGTAACAGAAGGGAGGCAGGGAGCCAGACCCCAGCATCCTAGGAGCAGTAGAAGTGGATGTGGCCACAGTGGGCAGGTGGGAAGAGGAGGCAGGACCGCCACTGTGTCAGATTATCTTGAACCCTGTCACCTGAGTCAGGTGTGGGGGCTCTGTGCAGAGACTGCGGTGGTGGCTGTGAGCTGGCAGGCAAACCCAGCCAGCCGGGATCTGCCGAGTGAGCCCCGCGTGCTGATAAAGAGGAAAGGGGTCAGTTTAGCTATGGCACCAAGATTTTGAGCAGTTGCTCTTGGGAATCATCATCTCGGGCAGGACCCCCAAATACCTGGAAACAGGAAAGCTGTGTCATTAGAAACCCCAACCCCCAGCGGGGCTGCAGGTCCAAGGGATGCCAGCTTTCCACATGCTTGCGGGGCAGTGGGTCTTCCTCCCCCCACTTCACCCACCAGCAAGGTGAGGTTTAGTGCGACCTGACTGCCCAGGGTTGGTTTAGCAACACTGTGTGTGTGTGTGTGTGTGTGTGTGTGTGTGTGTGTGTGTTGGAGGTGGGGGCTGGAATGCAGAGGTGTGAACTCCTAGGCTCCCCACTCCCCACCTGCCAGCATCTTTTTACACAACCTTGAAGGGATCTGACTTACTGACCATCACCTCAGCCTCCGCGGCTAGAAATTTTTAGGTACAATTCCTTGAAATCCTGGGGATCCTGTCCAGCTCTGGGATCAAAGAGCGCTGTTGATGAATCCCACCCCACGTCTGGGGGAAGGACGCGTCCAAGCTGCGTGCCCGATCTGGCTTGGGGTGGGGGACCACGACTCATTGATTTCTGCCAAGTCCTTTTATAATCAGCCAGTCCCCAACAGGAATGTCGGATGGATAAATCAGAGCAGCGGAACAGGGGGCTGGAGTGGCCAGACGAAATAATTCTAAACTCCAGTCCGGCCGAACGAAATTGCTTGTGAAAAAAACAGAAACGAAACCTGAAAGAGTAGAAAGAATAGATAGCAAAACTCGCTGAGAAAGCCAACCCCTGCAAGCAAAGAAATAGGGAAATAGATCAGACTTCCCCGTGCCAAAAAAAAAGGCATCTAGAGAGGTGGGGGCAACGACCCCGAGCCGGGAGAGGAGCCTGGGGACACCAGGGAGCCGAGGCCAGCAGGACAGGGAGGGGACGCTCCTACCCGCCCCCCGGGCCAGCGGTGCGTCTCAGCCCGGCCCAGCTCGCGAGTTTTAGGGGGGCGACAGCGGCGCCCAGAAATTTCCCCCAAGTGCAGCATTGTGTATGCATATTTGTTTCTCTCGCCAGAATCCAAACAGACCCTCCGTTAGGAACCTGGGATTTATTTATACATTCAGGCGAGCCACCAGGCAGTGGTGGCGGCGAAGGATCGCGCCGTTTCCCTGCCCCACCAGGCCCAATCTTTCGGTATCGGGTACGGGGATCTGGACCATCTGTCTGCCGTGGGCCGAGCACTCGCAAAGGAGAGGAGCGGTTCTGGGGTCTGGGCGATGAGGTCTTAGCGGATGCAGGGGCTGCCCGCTAAGGCGAAGTGGACCGTGAGAGCCGGGGTGAGGGACCTGCAGGGGAGAGGGGCGGCCAGTGACCCGAAGCGACGGGGACGATGGTGAAGCCTGACGGTCGCCGGGGTCTGGAGTCCTTCTCCTCTCTGCATGGCGGGCTATCGCGGTCCCGCCCGGGCAGGTGGGTCAAGAAGCACGAAGGCCACCAGCGCCTGGAGAGGGACGGGTGCGGTGTCCACCCCCGCCCCTCGGCACGCCCTCCTCCTCTCTCCCCCTCTCACCCGCCACCCCCGCCAGGGCCAGAGTCCCGCGTCCCCAGCGGGACAGAGGCAGCCCGAGGGCAGTTTTCACCCGACAGGGCGGGCGGCTCTCAGAACCTGGGAAACACCGCGCCCGGGCCCCTCGCCTAGGGGGCTGGAGAGGGATGAGGAGGAGCCAGGGTGCGGCGGGGACCGTCCTAGTTGGCCAGCCCTCCCGCTCCCCCCCACCCCCCGCCGTCCGCCCCCACCTCTAGGGCCAGGCTGGGCCTCCCGTCCGGCCGAGCCCGCAAGGGTTAAAGGCTGCAGCAGGTGAGGTGGGCGGGGCCGCGAGTTGGGGGGAAAAAGGAGCGCAGGGGAGAGGATGCAGGCAGAGAGCGCGGGTGAGTCACGGGCGGAGCTGGCCTCGCTCGCTCTTTCGCTCGCTCGCTTGCTCGCCGGCTCCCGCCCGCTTTCTGGCCTCCGCCCTCCCGCCGGCTCTCACCGTCTCCTCGGCCGCCGCCCGGTCTCGTCGCAGCCCGGCACCCTCGGCTGCTGCCCACCCTGGCCGCGAGAGAGCCCAGGGCCCATGAGCGCGCGTCCCTAGGGCTCCAGCCCGCCGCACCCGGAGCCCGAGCGCAGCCTCCAGGTAGGAGCCCCGAGCCGGGATAACCTGGGGAGTCGCACTGCCCGGATTCTCTCCGGGGAGCAGGGGAAGGGGATAAGGCGCTCCCTACGTGAGGCAGTCTCCTGTGGCCGTGGGAACGGGGTGGTCCTCCGGGATCATAGGGGTCAGGGCACCGATGGAGAGAGAGAGAGAAAGAGAGATAAAGAGAGCGAGAGAGAGACTGGAGGGACAGCGGAGGCTGGAAACTGGGGAAACTGGAGCGACGGGGACAACTGGCGGACTGGAACATTGCGAACTGGGAGTGCGCGCATCTGGAGCGTCTGAACGCCGGCGGGATGGGGCACAGGGTTATCCCTGGCCTGCCTACCCGCGCCTGGAAGCAGGAGGCTGCCGAGGCGTCCTGATCTTTTCTTTCTTGAAATCTCGGGGCAAGCCACAGCTACAATCCGTGCTGCGGGCACTTCGCTCCGAGGTCGAGAGAGGCCATTCTGCGAGCCTGGGGCGTCCCAGTCCCTGCGGCAGTTCCCAGGCGCCAAGAGCTATTAGGGTCCCAGGCCTCCCTGCTCCCGCCCCGTCCCTACTGGGGGCCGCCCCGCCCCGGCCTGGGGCTCCCTTCCTGCGGCTTTTCCCCAGTTCCTTTCTTGTGGTGAAGCAGCCGGAGCCTGAGTAGGCGCCCCAGCCCTTCTCTCCCTGCCTCTCCCAGACAACTAGGGCCACCACCCTGGTCCTGGAGGCAGAAGGGGTTTGGGGTCAGCGGAGCCCTGCTGTGGGGTCCTAAGTGAGGGACCATCCCCCTATCAGAGAAGGCCCAGCCTGATACACCGAGGCACCAGAGCTGCCAGGCTTTAAGGAGAAGGGGAGAGGGAGACTTCTGGAGGTGTGGTGGAGGAGGGGGGCTTTGGTTCCTCGCCTGTGGAGGAAGGGAGACTTGGTTTGCTGGGGTTCTAGGCTGGGCGGAGGACAGTCCTTGTGAACTGACTCTTGCCAGCATCCTGGCTCAAGTTAGTGCTCCAAGTTTGCTGGTCATCTGTAAAGTGAGAGGACCAGCTTGGCTCCGTGAGTCTCCACTCACTCATGGTGATCCACCATGGTGGGGATCGCCCCTTCCGCCCTGCGCCGGCCAAGGCTGCACCCCCTGGTAGACTCTGGGCAATTCTGGCACTTCTCTCCAGTTGCCCTCCTCTTGCACACTCTGACCCTGCACCCCTGAAGGGGGTGGCAGTTGGACGTTTGAGTTTGCAGGCAAGCTGTTCTGTGGCTGCCCCCCTTCTCTGAGGGACCCAGCTGCTCCTACCGCCCGGCTAGGAGGAAGGGCATGGGTGACAGCCAGAGAGTGGGCTGGCACTGGGGCGGGTCGGGAGACAGAAGAGGATTTGGCTTGCTCTGGGCAGCAAGGAGGGAGAGGGGAACTTCCAAGGAAACTGATACAGCAGTGGCTGCACCCCAGGGAGGTGAGGTCCCTGCCCGCGGGAAAGGGGCGACCGCCAAGTGTGGGAGTGGATTTGACGGGGGGCCTAGGCAACCAGGCCTGGAAGACAGCTGGGTATTAGGGGAGAGGTTGGGTCTTGGTGACAACTCAGGATTAGCTCTGGGCTTTCTGAAGGACGGGAACCGCCTAGGCTCTGCTTTCACCAGCAGACGACCCCCACCAGCCAGCAGGGTACCCAGTTGGCTGTTGAGGTAGGCGCGGGTCTGTATCCTGCATTAGGGCTAACTCTGTGGATGTGCTATGCTTGGTGTTGTGCCCTGCAGGTGCCTGGGACCAGCTCTGCTCCCGGGATATCCTGGGGGAGGGGTCACTTCAAATGGAGGCTCTCCATTCTCTGCCCTCACCTCACATTCTCAACCCTTGCCAGCATTTGTAAATGCCCTCTTCCCCTGGGGGAGGGGGCAATCCAGATCAGGAACCAAAGTGGGCGACTTTCCTCACTTTTCTTCTTCTTTGCTTCCCCTAGGTCCCACCTGAGGTGCCCCTGACCGTCCCTGTCCCCCGCTCCACCCGGGATCCCGGCAATGCTAACCGCTGTCTGCGGCTCTCTGGGCAGCCAACACACGGACGCACCGCACGGCTCTCCGCCGCGCCTCGACCTGCAGCCTCTGCAAACGTACCAGGGCCATACGAGCCCGGAGGCCGGGGACTACCCATCCCCGCTGCAGCCCGGAGAGCTGCAGAGCCTCCCGCTGGGGCCGGAGGTGGACTTCTCGCAGGGCTATGAGCTGCCGGGGGCCTCCTCGCGGGTAACCTGCGAGGACCTGGAAAGCGACAGTCCCTTGGCCCCGGGACCCTTCTCCAAGCTCTTGCAGCCAGACATGTCCCACCATTACGAATCGTGGTTCCGGCCGACTCACCCCGGCGCAGAAGACGGCTCGTGGTGGGACCTCCATCCCGGCACCAGCTGGATGGACCTCCCCCACACTCAGGGCGCGCTCACCTCGCCTGGTCACCCGGGGGCGCTTCAGGCCGGCTTGGGGGGCTACGTCGGAGACCACCAGCTTTGCGCTCCGCCGCCCCACCCACACCCTCACCACCTTCTCCCGGGTGCCGGAGGGCAGCACCTCCTAGGGCCCCCCGACGGGGCCAAGGCCTTGGAAGCGGCTGCCCCGGAGTCCCAAGGGCTGGAGTCCAGTCTGGACGGCACGACCCGGCCCAAAGGCTCCCGGCGGTCGGTGCCGCGCAGCTCGGGCCAGACCGTGTGTCGCTGTCCCAACTGCCTGGAGGCGGAGCGACTGGGAACGCCGTGCGGACCCGACGGCAGCAAGAAGAAGCATTTGCACAACTGCCACATCCCAGGCTGCGGGAAGGCCTACGCCAAGACGTCGCACCTGAAGGCGCACCTGCGCTGGCACAGCGGCGACCGTCCCTTCGTGTGCAACTGGCTCTTCTGCGGCAAGCGCTTCACGCGCTCCGACGAGCTGCAGCGCCACCTCCAGACCCACACGGGCACCAAGAAGTTCCCCTGCGCCGTCTGCAGCCGCGTCTTCATGCGCAGCGACCACCTGGCTAAACACATGAAAACCCACGAAGGCGCCAAGGAGGAGGCGGCCGCCGCCGGGGCGGCACAGGGAGAGGGCAAGGCTGGCGGTGCGGTGGAGTCCCCCGGGGCCAAAGGCAAGCGGGAGGCCGAGGGCAGCACAGCTCCCTCCAACTGAGCTCGGGGCGGATGGGGGGGGGGGGTTGCTGCTGTTCCCCAGTACCCCCAAGGCCCACGTGGTCGAGGCCGGCTTGAGTTAGAGGGAGAGGCGCTTATTTATTGTGCGGGAGGAAGAGCGATGCGGGGACCACGGGGAGAAGGGCGCTTGAAGGGACAGTGTTGGGTTCTGGGGCCGGGACAGGATGCCGCCCGGGAGGAGCTTTGCGCGCCGCCGTTCCGTGTCCCTGCACGCACCTGGGCTATTTCCCTCGACCGGCTGCTGGGGAGGCGGGAGAGGAAGGCGGCCCCGGAGCTCCGGGTTGGGGTCGGGGCAGCTGTCCGGACTCGTCTGCGCCAACAACCTGGGAACCCTGGCAGGAAAGCGCCTTCGGAGCCGCCCGAGGCGCCTTTCATCCCCTCCCAGTGCTTGAGTCCTGGGGTTTCCCTAGGGGGAGCTGAGATGGGGGTGCGGGGAGACTGAGGAGGTCCCCTTGGGGTGTGTGTGTGTGTGTGTGTGTGTGTGTGTGTGTGTGTGTGTGTATTGAGGGGCGCCTCTGTCTGCTTCGGAGGTTGCAGCTGTAGGAATTTGGATGCGCCTCTGTATTAACCCGTCCAGACGCGGTCCCAAGGAGCCAGGGAGGAAGAGAGTGGGAATCCCTCCTTGTAACTTCCAGGTCAGAGCTGTGCGACAAAGGGCGGAGCGGGGTGTGCGTGAGGGGGGCGCGGATCAGGCAAAGCCCCCTTGGAAAGGAGAGAAAGGGGTGCGTGGGAGGGGGGATGGGTGCTTTCCTCCCCGACTCCAGTCTTTAACTCTTGATCTTTTTTTTTTTTTTTTTAATCACTCTTGGTAATCCAGCTGCCCTAGCCCTGGAATGGCTGTAGGTCTTTTACCTGATGTCCCCAGCATTTGCCTTTCCCTTGGGGGTGTCCAGCCGAGGCCCCTGAAGTGGGTCCTTGCCCCTCCCTGTTCCACAGAGGGTACTTTAGGGGGGCTCCTTCCTGTCCATCTCTTGGGGTGGGCGTCCTTTTCCTGTGAGGGTGGTGTCTTCCCACTGAGGGGGTTCTCTGCCCGGGGAGCTGTCCCCCATTCGCTCCCTTCTCCTTCACAGACACAAGGATGATTGGGTTCCTGGGAGTGGGGGCAGGAGAGGGGCTGATCCTGGGGGAGGGCGGGCCTGGGGGCTGTCCCGTCGTCCCGTCCGGAAGTGTCCCTCTGGTCTCCCCCTGCCCTTGCTGCCGGTTCTGCACCCAGAACCCTCTGCAGGGATTAGCTGTGTATTGATTTTTAAGTTATAAGCAAAGGGTGTTTTATTTAATATTAGGGCATATGTGTATGTGCATGGCTTGTGCACCTGTGAGTGTGTGTGAGTGTGTGTGTGTGTGTGTGTGTGTGTTCTCTACTGAGCCTGGGGTCTCCTGAGACCCCACCTTGTTCACTCCATCTGAAACCTGGGGCCCACACCCTCAGTGTCTCTTACCGCCTTAGTCGGGAGGGATGCTGGGGCGGGGAAGGGGGGGTCCGAGAACTGGGAGTTGTCTGGGAAATGGGGGCTGGGTTCTGGTTGGGAGAACAGGTTTGTGTAGGAAAGGGGCCTTTCTTCAAAGGGACACAAAGACTTTCCCTGCGGGCGCCCCTGCAGCCTGGGGTAGTTCAAGAAGTAATGTTCTGTTCCCCATTCTCTGTCTTTCCCTTGTGTTCTGTGCCCCCAGCCCGCCAGATCCTTCCTTCCAGAAAGGGCTGGGGACAGGAGGGGAGTGGGCTGAGGCTGTGGGCTTGCCTGGCCAGCTGGGGAGTGGGGAGTGGGAGAGAAAGGAGGGCGCCATGGGCGGGAGGTACCTTTCCTCTCCGCCCATCGAAACCAGCCACCCCTCCCTGTGGCTACCAGGGCAGCCTGGTCCAGTGACCATCCTAAGGGGAACCCCCCATGGGTTTTGGGGGGGGCCACGTAGCCATCTCCCCCAACTTCCCTGTAGAGGTCCTTAGCTCTAAGGTATGCGGGTCGGTTGGGGCTTTGGATAGGTGTTCTGCTGCCCACTTTTATAGATCTAGGTGGCTTGGCTGCCTGCCCTGCTAGGCAGCCTCCCTAGAGGAAGATGTAGGATTTTTTTTTTTCTTGAACTGCTGTGAACCCACTTTTGGGGGTAGGAGGAGGGAGAGACAGCCTGTGTTTTTTATGCAATAATAAAGTCATCAGTGCATCTCTGTTGATTCATTTGTCTTCCAGCTCCTGGGAGCACCAGGTCGGAGCTGCAGGGCAGGGCGGACCCCTCCCTTTGATCCTGCAGCCCCTGGGGCGCCTCATCTCCATCTGACTGGCTCGGAGGGAGGGGGGGGACCCTACCCTGGAGGGGGTTAGTACTTAAGGAGAAAGGCCCTCCCTCCGCCTTTACCTTCAGGGATGAGACAGTTCTAGATACATCCTGGCGGTTCCAAGTCCTCTCTTCCCCCCTGCTAAGAACTCCTGACTCTCTTCCCACAGCCAGCCGGGCTATGGGCTCCCGCCCCTGTGGGGGTGTGTCTGCCCGTGTCCTGCTGGCTGCGAGCGAGGTGGGGGTGACTGACAGCGATTTCGTCACTCAGAATGATCCCTATCAGAGATGAGGCGATGAAAGGCAGCTTAGCTATCTGATGGGCGCCGGCCCAGCTGGAAAGCACGAGGGAAGGGCTTCACTGCCACTCCTGGCTAGAGACCCGGCCAGTTACACAACCACCGCCATGCATACAAACAGCCCCTGGCCCAGCGGGAGTGCACGCCGCTGATGCCCCCAGACCCAAAGGGCAGAATTTCCCCACCTGCTCACACTTTCCCAGGCTGTCCAGCACTGGGTTCTTGTGGTCAGTTGACGTTACATCCAGCAGGTGGGCGGGGGGGGCTGGAGCTCTGGAGTGTGGAAGGTGTGGGGGTCCTCCAAAGGGGCAGGGCTGCCTGAGTGAGTTCTTTCACTCTTTACGTCCAAAAATTCTTGTTTTTTTTCCCCCCACTGGACTTTCCATGGCTCACTGCTCCCCCTCCCCACTCTCCCCTGCTCCCTCTGTAAGCCAACTTCTCAAGCCCATCTCATCATTTGACCCAAGAAATTCTGGGGCACAGAGTTTAAGGCCCACTTTGGGAGGGGAGAATAAGAAAGGTGTTGTGGCATCGTGAATAAAGTTACCATCTGCAGTGCCATCTGTGGTGCCTATATGGGCGCTGGCTCCAGTCCCAGCTGCTCCAATTGTAATCAGGTTCTCTGGTAATAGCCTGGGAAAGCAGCACAAGATGGCCCACCTGCTCGGGCCCTTGCAACCTACGTGGAAGACCTGGAAGAAACTCCCGGCTCCTAGCTTCAGCCTGGCCCAGCTCCCTACCCTGGTAGCCGTTAGGGAAGTGAACTAGCAGATTTGAAGATTCTCCTCTCGCCCTCTCCCTGTAACTGTCTTTCAAATAAATAGAATAAATCTTTAAAACAAACAAACAAGCAACATTATCTTGGGTTTTTAAAGGAACCTAGCTGATTTGCAGGCAGGGGTTTGGGGAGACAATTGCTGGTCTCCCTCTGTCCTGGCTTTGCCAGCCTGTCAGAGTGGAGACACCAGCAGGTTGCCTGAGGCTTCGGGCCAGCCCGACTCCTCTGGGCGCCTCTCCTGTCTTCCTGGTTCTAAGGAGTCAGACCCTAGAGCCTGATGACCCTCCTCTCCCTCCCCCCCTCCATTGCTGCCCCCAGGGACTGGAGGGCAGCCGCGGGGCCGGCCAGGCCTGTCTGGGCAGGGCAGGCCGCCCCTCCTCCCCGGCAGCTCCTCCCCGCCACTGACCTGCATTCTTAGCGGGGGCCTTTGGTGGGGCCCTGATGCTCCCTTGCTCCCTGGCAATGCTGCCGGGCTGGCCTGCCCCCCACCCCCGTGAAAGCCTAAGGCCACCTCTGACCCCTCAGAGGCAAGCGCCCTGGCAGGACAGTCCTGCAGTGGCCAGGAGGGAGTCGCGACATAGGAACATCTAGGTTGACCCTTAGCAGTTGAGTTCCACGGGATGGGAGTGGGGGTGAGGGGAATCAGAAATGGGGAGATGACTAGGGTGGCTAGGCATTGCAGCCTGGGGCTGTGCGGGAGTGGTGCCTCCCCCTGCCTGTTGTGGGGGGAGCCCATATCTGCTCCTAGATTCCAGTACCCTCGGAGAATGACATCCAAGGGGGGACCTCACAAACCTCCCAGCACTGCACCCCACCCCCATGTGGGGCCTCCATGCCTGACCACTCAGCATCCCGGCACTGTGGGCTGGAAAAGAACTTTAGGAACCAAATTCCACCCAAACACTTGTCAGAACTAGGGGGGAAATACAGCAAACATCAGAAGATCCAAAGTCAGTGATCGAAAGCAGCAGTGTTACTGCGGCCTAAATCAGTTCAGGAAGCAACTCAAGGAATCTCACTGGTGATACCCCAAGTGAGATGCTGAGCCTCGGTGGTGACAGGTCTGGGCATGGAAAACTGTGAGAGACTGGTGATGGGCAGGTGTCGTGGCCAGGTGACTGAGGGGCTGTTCAATTCCCAGGTGCTCCGTGCTTTTTTTTTTTTAAATGACATATTAGTGCTGGTGATGCTCAGCGCCACCGAAGAGGACAATGGCTGGGAATGCCCTTTGTCTTGTGGGGCTCCGGGTGTTGGCAGAGGGGCACTGGGGAGAGGGCTGAGCTCTGGATTCACTCTCGGTGCAGGGAGTGGAACTGTGGGAGATACTGCTGACACGGAGAACTTTCCCCTTAAACCGTGCAAACGCTGCTTAGGGTAGTTGAGGCTGCATTTCAGTCTCCTGGTCCCTGCTTTGCTTCATTCTCTAGTTGCAGGTGTGAGTGGCAGGAGCTTTCTTGTTGTGTTGGCTTTGGGGACCGAAGAGTAGACCCCATAACTACGAAGTTTATGCTTTAACATCTTAGAGCTGATTTTTTTTTTTTTTGGCATGTACTTTCCTTTTAGCATTTTTTTAAAAATGTAAAACTAAAGCAATTTCAGGTTTGTTTCAACTTTACAACTTTTTGAATGAGAAGAATGAATTGACATGCTGCTTGATTGTAAGAAGCAAACAAATTGTTTTTACAGTGAAAAAAATGACATTAAAAAAATTTTTTTTTCGAAAGGTAGACTCTAGGGCCTGGCGCAATAGCCTAGTGGCTAAACTCCTCGTCTTGGATCTGATGTGGTGACCTAGTGGCTAAAGTCCTCACTCTGAATGTGCCAGGATCCTATATGGGCGC